GCAGATTCTCATTTCTCTTAAAAGAAAACATGCTACATATACTGAGTCGGAGTTTTGCTTATATACTCAAGCTATAGTTTTTCTTATATACTCAAGCCAGTGTTTTGCTTATATACTCAAGCCAGAGTTTTGCTTATATACTCAAGCCAGAGTTTCGCTTATGTACTCAAGCTAGAGTCGTTAACCATTCATGGTCGGCTAAAAATATATTTCCTTTTCCTTGATTTCACCATAAATCATTTCCCATTAATCCACGCCCACATTAGTGTAAACACACCCATATACGTTTATACTAAACTCACAAACTCTTTCCATTTTCGAAATACTAACTTTAAACCAAGAGTTTACAAGAGAAAAACCACATAAAACGAACCATAACTCGAAAGGGTGAGTTTCCATGGTTTCTCATACTTTGAGAAGAGATCCAACATACCCAAAATAGGTTTCAAAGAGAAGAAGAGAGTTAGAATCAAGAATTTTACCTCTTCTCAGCTCTTAGATGAGTATCCAAGCTTCTTGTCCTTGAAAAAGCTCTCTTCCCTCACCCATCTTCTTTTCTAAACCCTAGGTTGTGTTTGGGGGTTTCTCATTAAGACAACTCGTCGGGTTCTCGCTTAAGCGAGCCCTTTCTCGCTCAAGCGAGAAAATCCCGCCTATTTTAAAAATTCAAATCTGACCCTCTCGCTCAAGCGAGTGATTCTTGTTAAGACCCAAATTCTACCCTTGAAAAATTTTCTTTTATTTTAATCCTTTCATGCATACCGTTATCATACTACTTTAGTTTCTCAATTATCACTCCTTAAACACTTTTTAACATAAGATTAACCCATACGATTTATATTGCGGAAAAACATAATTCATTCAATTAAACCCTAATGTCTACCGCATACAACTAGCTATGGGTTTCCAAAATACCCATAACTACGTATATGCGAAATTACAATCATTCGTATAAGTCATATATCCATAGTTACAAAATATTCCAATTAATTCAATCAACACTCGTGTACAAAATAGTGCTAATAATTGAAATCCAAAAATCTAAAGCTCCTAAGCTTCCAAAAATAAGACCACCTCAGGTTACCTGTTCATCTGCAATGAGATTATCAATGACGAAACACAAACACATAACGGAGTAAGTCGTTAATTCAATAAACGTCATTATAAGATAATCCACATTAGAAAAAGGGTTAGTAATCCATTTTCGAAATTCATTTTGTCTTGCTGCATAACTTGAGCCAAAGTCGCTACGCCCCTTAGGGTTAGCTAAAAGCAAATTCTCATTTTTCTTAAAACAAATCGCGCTTCTATACTCAAGCCAGAGTTTTGCTTATATACTCAAGTCAGAGTTTTGCTTATATACTCAAGCCAGAGTTTTCCTTATATACTCAAGCCAGAGTTTTGCTTATATACTCAAGCCAGAGTTTTGCTTATATACTCAAGCCAGAGTTTTGCTTATATACTCAAGCCAGAGTTTTGCTTATATACTCAAGCAAGAGTTTTGCTTATATACTCAAGCCATAGTTTTGCTTATATACTCATGCCAGAGTTGCTAACCATTCATGGTCGGCTAAAAATATATTTTCTTTTCATCGAATTCACCATCAATCATTTCCCGTAAATCCACGCCATCTTTAGTATAAACACACCCATATATGTTTATACTAAATACGTGATTTACCATATAATTATCGCATGACCAGAAACACACACCTTTTCCATCTTCCGTAAATCTACGCCTACTTTAGTATAAACACACCTATATATGTTCATACTAAATGCGTAATTCACAACTCAATCATTTCATAACCAGAAAATACCCACATTTTCCTTTTCGGTAAATCTACGCCTTCTTTAATATAAACACACCAATATATGTTTATACTAAATGCGTAATTTACAACTTAGTCTTTTCATAACCAGAAAACACACATTTTCTATTTCAAATGCAACATTAAAGACTTATCCTTACCTCGGTGAGTATTGGGGTTCGGTTTGTGAGTAACTTTACCAGTTTCCTCCACGATCTCCTCCAACTTTATGATCTTTCCTCATCCCTACCAATAACAACAATGTCAGTCATTTATTCAAATTAATACATAACGACTCATATTTCATCATTAAACATACAAGAAATTCACAAATTTTCAAGATCCCCAAAACTACTTCCATACAAGTTTCCAAACATCTAAACACACATGTTTATCTCATATGTCAACATTAAATCACAAACTCATCATCCACATCTAACATTTCATCTATTTCTCTTTTTACTCATATTCTCATTTTGGGGGTTTTTGGGGTTTTTCATGTACAACCCACAAAACTTTTCCATTCATCAAATACCAACTCTAAATCAAGAGTTTACAATAGAAAAACAACATAAAACGAACCATAACTCCAAAGGATGAGTTTCCATGGATTCTCATATTTTGAAAATAGATCCCACATACCCAAAACAAGTTGGAGAGGAAGAAGAAAAGTTAGGAACAAGAGGTTTACCTCTTCTCAAGCTCTAAGATGAGTCCTAAGGCTCTTTGCTCCTGAAAAGCTCTCCTCTCTCTCTTCTCTTCAAAGTTCTAACCCTAAAATGTGTTTGAGGTTTCTATTTTAAAGAGTAGTCATCAGGTTCTCGCTCAAGCGAGCCCATTATCGCTTAGGCGAGAAAATCCCGCCTTTTTTAAAATTTCAGATCTGACGCTCTCGCTCAAGCGAGGGATTCTCGCTCAAGCGAGAATCTTAGTGTCAACAGCCCCAAAATGTCATTTCTCTCCCAAGCGAGGCAACTTTCGCTCAGGCAAGAATCTTCCAGTATAGCCCGGGATTTCACCGTCCCAGGTGATCCTTTCTCGCTTAGGCGAGAATCTCTCGCTCAAGCGAGACTTCCAGGACTGATACGGTAATTTTAAAGACTCAAAATTAGGGTGTTACAATTCTCGCTCAAGCGAGAATCTCAAAGTCTCAACAGTCCCAAAATGCCATTTCTCGCCCAGGCGAGACAATTCTCGCCAAGGCGAAACAATTCTCGTTCACGCGAGAATCCTCCAGTATAGTCCAGGATTTCACCCTCCCATGTGAGTCTTTCTTGCCCAGGCGAGACTCCCTCGCTCAAGCGAGAATCCCAGGACTGATACTTTAATTTTAAAGACTCAAATTTAGGGTGTTACACATAATCGCTTAGTTTATGTGAATCTGTAAATGCTCTATGTTTATGTTGATTTTGCTTAGTTTGAAGCTTAAACATTAGAGTTGTGAACATATTAGGAATTCAATGTGTAGAATCTGAAATTGATGCTTTGATTCGTGTGACTTTGTTAACTGTTTGTTGCTTATACCAATTTCGCTTAGTTAGAGTTTTAGAAATTTAACTATGAGTTGATCATCGCTTAGTTAATCGACTATCAACAAAGGAACACTGAGAATCTGATTTTGATGTTTTGTAACCAAGGATTGAGTTGTGAACAAATAAACCAAAGGGATTTAGCCTCTTTACTGTTTTGCTTGTTACTGTTTCGTTCTGTTTTAGCTTCAATTTCATACCATAACAACCACTAAAACCCCCATTGTGTATGTGCGTGTAATGTGTTTGAACCAATGTGTAAAAGATAATCTTTGGGAAACGACCTAGGAGTCACTTCCTAGTACTATACTTAATTGTTTTATTATTTGCATCATGTACGACCTCGATCAAATTTGGCGCCGCTGCCGTGGATTATCTCTTCATACAATGGTTCTCTATAGTTTCATGTAGCTTAGTTTAATGTAGTTTAGTTAGTCAATTCTGTAGTGCATGTTGGTTAAAAATTCTGGTTTGGATTCAAAAGTTGTGTTGCTGTCAAATTTAATGTTCACTGTTGGCATTTTGCATTATTTGTGTGATTCTGTTTTGCTGGTTTATATAGTTGTGGTGGATTTTTTGCATTAAATTTTGTTTCTACACTTCTTTCATCCCACATTGAACACCAAAGAAAGCAGAATCACTTTTCGAGCTATAGTTTGTGAGATACAACTTGACGGTGAAAACTGAATAGTTGAAAATATATTTTTAGCATAACTTTGTGTCCATAAATCAGAATTTGACATATGACATATGAATTTGGGGTAGAAAAAGAAGTTATATTCGTTGCCACAAATGAAGTCTGTCAGCTCTGAACCAAAAATCCGAAAACCCCTTTTTACTATTTCTTTTTTATTTTATATGGTTTATAGTGAAACTGTTTTGCATTTTTACATTAGTTAGGCTTTGAATTTTTCCTTGAAACTTTTTGTACATGTTCTATATGATTTTAGGATGTTATTGATGCAAAGACTTGATTGATTCTACAATTATAAAATGCATTTCCATTACTTTCGTACTTTGTTCCTACTATTGACTGCAATGCATGACTAGAAGGAATACATGCATTTTGCATTCAATAAATCCCAAAATTGATAGAACATATCATAGGTTAGTTAGACAAAATAGAACTTTAGATACTTATTTTGTTTCTATTTCTGAACATCCTGTTGCTGAAAATACTACTTCTGAGCATTCTGTTTCTGTACATTTTGAATATAGTGATTCTGTGCGTTTTGTTGCATTTCCTAATTATGACCATTTTGTTCATTCTGAAAATATGGCTCTGCCACCTACTCCTCTTGGTCCCCGTGAGAGGACATTAAGGGAGCTAGTTGCCCCTGATTTTACTTATGACAGTTTGTGTATCCAATATGAGGATGTACCATATGTGCTTAAAACTGGACTAATCCATTTGTTGCCTAAGTTTAATGGACTTGCAGGTTAGGATCCTCATAAACATCTTAAGGAGTTCCACATTGTCTACTCAATTATGAAACCACATGATGTTATGGTGGATCACATTTGTCTAAAAGCTTTCCCTCAGTCTCTTGAGGGCCTTGCAAAGGACTGGTTGTACTATTTTGCTCCTGGCTCCATCAGTAGTTGGGATGACTTGAAGAGGTCATTCTTGGGTAAATTTTTTCCTGCATCCAGGACCACTAAAATCAGAAAGGACATCTCTGGAATTAGGCAGCAACAAGGTGAGAGCTTATATGACTACTGGGAGAGGTTTAAGAGATTGTGTGTTAGTTGTCCTCATCATCAGATCTCTAAGCAACTCCTCTTGCACTACTTTTATGAGGGTCTGAACAACATGGATAGAAGTATCATTGATGCTGCTAGTGGTGGAGCACTTGGAGACATGACTCCTTTTGAGGCAAGATGTTTGATTGAGAAGATGGCTTCCAACTCTCAACAATTCAATGCAAGGAGTGGTGATGCCATAGTTTTTAGAGGAGTCCATGGCGTTGAGAAAAATGCAGCAAGGCAAGACAAGCTTCAGACCAAAATTGATTCCCTCACCACCTTGATCACTCAATTAGCCATTAATCAGCAAAAATATTCAATGGCAAGAGTGTGTGGTATTTTCACCTCAACTGATCATTATACTGATGTGTGCCCTTCTCTGCTTAAGCCAAGAACTAGTGATCATCCAGAGGCTTATGTTGTTAACATCTACAGCAACATTATGATCCACCCTCATCAAGCACATACAATCCTGGTTGGAAAAATCAGGCTCCATTTCTGAACAATAATGCTGGGCAGAATAGACCATCATATGTGCCCCCACTAGTCCAACAACAAAGGCATCAAATGATTAACACTCCTGCACCTACTGAAACCTCTTTGGAAGAATTGCTGAGGCAAATGACAATGCAAAACATGCAGTTCCAACAAGAAACCAGAGCTTCAATTCAGAGACAAGAGTCTTCCATTCAGAATCTAACCACCTAGATGGGGAACATGGTTACTTCACTGAACACATTGCAGTCACATAATTCTGACAAGTTACCTTCTCAGACTATGCTTAACCCAAGGAATGTGAGTACCATCACCCTCAGATCAGGCAAGCAGACTGAAGTGCTTACACCTAGAACAAATTTTGTTCTTGAAAAAGAACATGATGTGGATGCATAAAAAAGAAATAAATCTGTTTCAGAAGAAAATGAGAACACAACAAGAGAAACTCATGCAAATCAACCTTCCTCAAGTGTTGCACAACAACCATTTCCCATTCCTCTTCCATTTCCACCAAAAATCATTCCAACCAAGGAGATGGGGAATATGGAAGAGTTGGACAGGGATCTCTTGGATACAGTCAGAAAGGTTGAGGTGAATATACCTCTCCTTGATGCCATCAAGCAGATTCTTAGATATGCCAAATTTCTGAAAGAGTTGTGCACTCAAAAGAGGAAGCTGAAAGGTAATGAAAGGATCAACATGGGAAGGAATGTTTCTGCCATGATAGGTATGCCTATTCCTCACATCCCAGAAAAGTGTAAGGACCCAAGTACATTTACTATACCTTGCATCAAAGGTAATTGAAAATTTGAAAATGCCATGCTTGATTTAGGAGCATCCATTAATGTTATGCCTATGAATGTATTTAAATTCCTTTCACTTGGACCCTTGCAACCTACGGGTGTGGTAATCCAATTAGAAAATAGGAGTATTGCATACCCTACCAGTTTGGTAGAGGATGTCTTGGTTCGGGTTGATCAATTGATTTTCCCTGCAGATTTTTACATCCTTGATATGGAAGAGGGATCCCCTAGTAACACAGTTCCAATTATTTTGGGGAGACCATTCTTGAGAACAGCCCGAACCAAGATTGATGTCCATGCTGGGACACTTTCTATGGAATTCGATGATAAAGTGGCCCAGTTTAATATTTTTGATGCTTTAAAGCATCCATTTGAGGGCCACTCTGTTTTCCACCTTGATTTGCTCCATAAGTTCAATGATACACACCTTTCTAATTTTCTTCATGATTTTCATGCTCCATCATTAACTGATTCATACACTTTAATGCATGCACTAATTCTGAAACATGTAGTTTTTGAATTGATGAGTTTTTGAACATTGATTATTATGTTCCTTGCACTTCACTGTACACTTGCCATGCATGCACTGATTCTCCTGTTAGACATTCATATTGTACTAACACAATTGAGGTAGGAATCATACAACAATCTGATTTACTTGTTCAGGTGCAGGTTGCAACAAATCCTACCTTTGCTACTTTCTTTCCATCTGTTTTGTAGGCACCTGATTGGATACCCCCGTTTGACCTTGAGTGCGACATTGATGTTTATGCTTTGGGGATTGTCCTTGCTAGTTATGAGTTTGATTTCCTCCCTCCATGATTAAGGAAGTTTTTCTTTCTTCCTCTCCTTCCATACTTTATATTGCACTTGTCCAATTACAATTTCTAATATAACCGCGTGGATATTCTAGCTGTGTTCCATTTGGACAATGTGTAGTTTAAGTGTGGGGGGAGACTAATGTAGGTTTATGTTGATGCATGCTTTTCTTTGATTCTTAGATTTTGCTTAGATTTTGGGCATTTTCTCTCATGCTTTTTTTAGTTGATTCTTGATATATTGTGTTGTGAATCCATGCATTTTCTGTGTGTTAAGTTACTTTTGAGAATTGAGAGGTTGAGGCAATTGTGATAGTCTTGTCCCTTGTGAGATTTTGAGCCTTAATTGAGGATGGATTGATGTATGCCATCTAGTATTCTTTCATGTGTGATTGTTGCACTCTTGATTACTTGCACTCTAGAACTTGACATATTTCTTGTTGATACTTGATTTTCATATTGCACATTTTGAAGTGATTTAGGCATTTCTTTTCAATAAGCCACATGCCACATAGCCTACCTTGAATTACATTATCCTTTGCTAGCCCCTTTGAGACTTTTTACCATTTCTTTGTTCTATAGCTCATTACAAGCCTATAAGTGAAAAACCATGATTATCCTAACCTTAGGGAATTTTGGAGCTTTGGAATTGTTTTGGGAATGGGTATTAAAGTAAGGGTGTATTGTTCTTCATTTCTTATAATTCATTGGTTGGTTGGTTGATTGATACTTTTGGGTAAATAAGTGTGGCATTGCTTGGAAAATAAGAAAAACAACAAAAAAAGAAAAAAGAAGAAAAGAAACAAAAACAAAAATAAAAAAAATAAGAAATAAAAGTTGAGTGGTAAAGAGAATTGGAATTAGAGGGTAATTTGCTAATTTTGGGGTTGATTTTGTCTTACTTTTCACTTAATCCCCATTGCTCTTCTATTCCCATGGTTTAAGCTACATATCCCATATTTTATCCTTCCTTGTCCTTGGCTCCATTACAGCCTTGAAAAGTCCTTTTGATCACTATGTGCATGTGTTGGTCATATTGATGTTAGAAACTTATCAAGCTTATGGTTGTGTTTGTTTTCATGAGTGCCTTGAGTGTAAATACTTACAACCTAAGACACATGAGTGTAAACACTTTAGAGAGCATATCTTGTGAGGATCTATCATTGTTGTGACTCACCTCTTGATTTAATTGGTTTCTTTGCATGCTTGAATTGATTGGATGATCTTTATGTTTATCTTAATTCTTTGATCTTTTTATTATAGTGTGTTTGATTTTTCCAATCTCTTTGCATTTCTTAGAATTCATTTTGAAGTATGTCATCTTTAGGATTTTTGATTTCCTAGTTTTTAATAATCATCTTACATGGCTCAATTTGGTGCACTAGTTAGCATAGCATTATTTCTTGATTTTGCTCAGGAGTGCAAAAGGTTAAGTGTGGGGGTATTTGATGAGTCATATATTACACATTATTCAAAACCTTAATTTACCAGTGTTACTGATTTGTGGTGTCTAATTGGCTTTGTTTGGCATGGTTAAGTGTTTTAGGCTTTATTGGACTATTATTCCTAAAATGAGTTAATTTGGGATTATTTAGCCTATTTAAATTTAATTCCAATTTCAGGTCATATTTGGCACCAAGGACATTTTGGGCATTACAAGTGGAGGATGTGTGCTAAAGTGAAGATTGTAATTTTAAATAGCTTTTTAATTCCGTTTTAGGTTTTGGGCCCATTGTTTAGGGCCCATTTCGGTTTTAATTCTTTATAACCTTTGAATTCGTTTTGCACACTAACTTTTACATTACACACTTTACATTTTGTAACGACCCGAAATTCTACCCTTGAAATTTTTTCCTTATTTAATCCAATTCCATACATTTAACAATTAATCATCATTACCGAGTGATTACATTTACTTTAAAAGTCTCGCTTCACACTCACACCCTATCTTTAAACCATAAGTAACATACAACATTCGATAGCAGAAAAACATAATTCATTAATGTAACCTAGTAACCCCCGCATACAATTGGCTATGGGTTTTCAAAACACCCATAGCTACATATATCCCGAGTTACTAGTACCCATGATCAATATCATGTACAAAAGTAATATTCATAGTACCATTAGTTACTTCAATTACAATCAATTAAAGTTACAAAAGAATGGATAAAGAGACATCAAAACAAAAGTCTCTAATCCCCTACTCAAAATCATCCTTCTCCGCCAGTTAATCCACATTTAATAGGTTTCAACAGTAATATGATTTAAAAACTCTTAAAAACCTTTTTCGTCATCTATACTTTTTGAAAAACTATGCTACATAACTGAGCTAGAGTCGCTAACCCATTCTGGTCGGCTAAAACGAGTTTTACTTTCATTGGCACTCCACCAATACATAAATCATAAATACACCCATCATCACTACAAACATACCCATATATATTTGTAGTGACTAAGTGATTTACCATCTATGTCATTATATTTCGAGTCTTATTTCCATTGGTACTCCCCCAATAAGTTTCGAGTCTTATTTCCATTGGTACTCCCCCAATAATATTTATTTCGTTTGAGTCATATTTCCATTGGTACTCCCCCAATAATATTTTTTTCATTTGAGTCATATTTCCATTGGTACTCCCCCAACAATATTTATTTCGTTTGAATCATATTTCCATTGGTACTCCCCCAATAATATTTATTTCGTTTGAGTCATATTTCCATTGGTACTCCCCCAATAATATTTATTTCGTTTCGAGTCTTATTTCCATTGGTACTGCCCCAATAATATTTTTTTCATTTCGAGTCTTATTTCCATTGGTACCCCCCAATAATATTTATTTCATTTCGAGTCTTATTTCCATTGGTACTCCCCCAATAAATAGTAAACCTTAAACTCACTTCT